GTATGATCCTGTGGACAATTGTATAATCCTGTGGACAACTGTATGATCCGGTGGACAACCATCTGGACAATGGTGTAATTCTGCGGACGACCCTGCGTACCGTTGCATTGTCCCATGGGTACCCCTGTCAAGATACCTGTGGGGGAAAAAGTGAGGGCAGTATGGTTGCGCTATATATTTTGTCGATTTACCTGCCTTCAATGCATTGATGACTCCTCGGTGTTTTGATGGCTGTATTCTGTTTTTCGGTCGTTTGGGTTTTAGTCACGAACCACTGCTGCTCCTAGCTTTTTTTTTTGTTTGTTTGTTCTTTTGCTGCTCCTAGCTTGCACGACTGCCCGAAAGGAGAAGAAAAGAAAAAGGAAAGGGATAAAAAGGAGGCCTGGCCTTTTGTCAGTTTGTCTGTTGAATTGACGATCTGCAGGCCACAGTCCCCACCCTCCCCACGGGCCGACTTTAGGAGGTGTTTTTCCCGGTGGTGGAGGTGCTCTGAACTTGAAAGCCATGCTTGCCCAGGGTCCATGTTTGCATTTTTCTGTATCAGTGCGGTAGTTAAAAGCGTCTCCTGTTGCCTGAATGGTACAGATGTAACTGGTAACAAACAGACCTGAGTTCAAATGGTGATGGATTCAGTGGTGCTAAACCACCGCTCCTGCTGAGCGACCAAGAAAATTCTCTGTCGGTAATCAGTGGGAGGCTCCTGCCAGGCTCGGAAAACAGGCCCGTCGCAGGTTCAGCAGGGGTGGAAATTGTAAACGGTCCCTGGTCAGGTCCGGTTGGGATACGGGCCCAGGCTTGGGGTACGGCAACATAAAACGAGCGGTGGTTCAAGACCACTCCCCTTGCGAAAAAAGAAGAGAAAAAAGCGCTCTCTTTTGGGTTGTTCAGGTTTTAAGGCCTTGCGGATTTCCTTTTTTCCCCCCCCCATGGTCAGAGATATCAGAGCAGCGTTCTAGTGTTGGCCATTTCTGCTGCTGGAATTCTCTCCGGCGCCTGCACCTAAACTGCGTAATGGTCCCAGCCTACTGGTTACATTTTGGGTTTTTTGAAGAGGAATTCCCGGGCTCTCTTTTTGGTTCTGCTAATGACAATTCACTGTTTTTTTGTTAAAAACCAAAAACAAAAAGGAAAAAGAAAAAAGAGAAAGGAAAAAAGAGGAAAGAAGAGAAAAAAGCTCTCTCCATTCGACAAATCTGTGCAGTGGACTGCTGCACTCCTGATGACACTGCAGCGAATGTAGCTGTCAGGCGACTCACAGCGATAATGGCCCTTTTTTACTGTTTGTTTTTTCGAGTTGGTTGCGCGAGTGTTTGTTTTCCTTCGGATTCCGGCGGGACTTGAACTCGTGCTCTGTTTGAACCATGTAGCAAAATGGGCTCTGAGTAATGGCAAAGGACTCCAACTCATGCTCTGTTTGCTAATACTTGTGGACCATCTAACAAAATAAGCTGAGTACCTGCAATGGATTTGAACTCATGGTCTGTTTGCTTTGTGAGGATCATCTGGCAAGATGGGCTCCTGGTAATGGCAATGCGTATTGGGACAGGCCATAGCTCTGCTTTATACGAATGGCCAGAGTTTTGCTTTGTATGGTGATGATGATGATGATGATGATGATGATGATGAATGCCTTCCCTCTGCATCATTTTCTGTACCTGTTTAGCAGGTCGGGCTCACGGATTGCTGGCTTAAACAATGACTCTGTGGCCCGTTTCAGGTTGGGTTCACTGATTGCCTGCTTTCACCGATTGTCTGCTTGTTTGTTTGCTACAACTGTGAGAGTGTGATTCTGGCAGACCTAACTCCTCTGTTGGTATGTTCTGTTTTGGGCCAACACTTTTTGCATTGCCATTTGTCTACGTGCAACTATCGGCAGTTATCAGCACACGAAATACCACAAGCGTAAGTGGCTCTGTAGCAAAAGACCTGATGATGCGAGGCATTTGTATGCGTGGGAATTGCAATTCATTTCTTTCTTGTTACCAACAATAAAGGGGGTAGGAGTGATCATGAATTCTGGGCAAACACCTCAACGTGGTGTAGTATTGGTTCTCACATGAGTAAAGTGCCCTTGGACAGGTGCGACACACTTCAATCCATGCAACAAACTACAGTGCCATGACCGGAGTGCCCTCCAAAGAAGATGCCTTTTCTCCTCCCTCCGTCCCTCCCTCCCTCCCTCCCTCCCTCCC